CAACCACCTGCGACTCCATCGCTGTGAACTTGCAAAAGCAATGCAAATGTCTTGAAGGACATGAACCTCTCATTGGTGGTTTGCCTCAAGCGGCCCAGGAGTATCCTCCAAAGTTGGTTGACGCCATCATCGACGGCCTCATCCTGGACTGGGCTCAACGACAACGTGGACTACCAGATCACCTGCCGACCCGAGGCGATTTTGAGCAGTGGTGCGACTCCATGCACCACAAAGAATTGTTTCACTGGCACAAGTTTCACGACAGCGCAGTGCTAATTCTCCGGAAGCCGGACAGCATCCCACGTTCTGGACCGGCGCATCGCATTTTGCGATGGACTTGGGCAAAAGGAGTCCTGGATGGCCGATGGATTCAACTTGAACGAGGACAACAAGGAGCGACACCGCGCTTCGAGGTCAAGTACCCCTTCGTGGTGGTACTCTACTATTTCCCGGCCATCAACCAGGTCCTTGCCACAGAAGAGGGAAAGAATGCCTCTGTCTCCACTCAGGAGAAGTCTATGGTGCTAAGAGCACATGTCAACCTGGGACATCCACAGATGAAAGAATTTGTTCGTCTCCTTCGCGCTGCAGGCACACGACCCGACATCATCGACTATGTCATGAAGGAGTTTGTCTGTGAAGGTTGTCTCAAGGAAAGACGACAGCCATCTCGACTTCCTGCAGCCACACCCAGGACTTACGACTTCAACGTCGTCATTGGCGTCGATTTGCTCTTTGTCATGGGCTGCAAGCCAACGGATGAGCACCCAATCCTCAATGTCACTTGCCTTGGAACATTGTACTCCACCTTCACCATGGTGGATGCCACGAGAAGGTCTTCGGCTATGGTCTGGTCTTCCTTCTTAAGATCATGGGTGAGAACTTTTGGAGCACCCAGCTTTCTCCTGTATGACCAAGGCCTGGAGTTCCAAGGTGCTTTTGTAGAAGGCTTGGAGGAGTTGGGGATTCAGCCCATTGTCATCGACCGTGACTCTCCATACCAGAATGGAACGGTTGAGCGCCGTGGTGGACTGTTCAAGGAGGTCTACTACAAGACTCGTGAACTTCGACAACCAGCTGATCTTCAAGAAGTACAAGACATGGTTCACGAAGTGGCATGGGCGCTCCAAACCATGACCAACAGGAGCGGTTTCTCTCCCGCTCAACGAGTCTTCGGTCGACAGCCCAGCATTGCTATGGAGTTGCTGAATGATGCTGGCACCTTTGAGCAGACGCAGTCACCAACAGCTGATGCAGCTTGGCTTCGAGCTGATGAGATCCGACAGGCTGCCAGAAAAGCTTTGATGGAAGTTGATGGGCGAGAACGCCTCAATCGAGCTGTACGAGCCCGACCTCGACGACAGCGAGAAGAACATGAGTTCAAGGAGGGCGACCCTGTCTACGTTTGGAGACAAGGGAAACGTGGAGCTCAAGCCAAAGTGGGGCCGTGCTTCGTTGTCCTTCAGAAAGGAAGCACTGTGTGGGTGACTCGTCGTGGAGAACTATGGCGATGCAACAAGACCCAGGTGTTCAAGATGGGCAATTTGGAAGCTCAAGGACTGGAAGTCATTCCAGCCGAGTTGCTGAGAGCCAAAGAACGTCTTCGCTTCCACCCTGAAAAGCTGGGATTCATCGATGTGGAGCAAGAGGGCGACCCACCAGACACAGCATTCCGAGATGAACAACCGGCTCCAACCGCTGGAAACATTCAGCGGAAGGCACCAGGAACACCAAGGGCACCAGCTACACCACGAGCACCACAAACACCGGTCTTGCAAGGACCCCCTGAAGGATTGAAGCAAGTTCAATCCTCACAGGCAAGGAGTGCTCCATCCACTCCGGCCATCATGCGAGAAGCTCCAAAGACGCCACCACCAGCTCGTGCACAGACACCAGACACCACATCAGCGAAGGGATCAACAGCAACTTTGGCAAGATCCCGATCGCCAGCACCGAGACCACAGCCACCACCAAAGACCGTGACCATCTCGGCTGATGATGAACCTCATCCAGCACAAGAGCCACCTCATGCATCACAAGAGTCAAGCACACAACAAGCAACACCTGCCGCAGCAGCACCAGCAGCAGCAGTTGTGCCGCAGGGCATGAGAGAAGGCGATGAGTTGTGGAAGGCAACAGTGGAGAATCAACTCTCCCGGAGCTCAGCGTCCACTGGACCAAATGCACCTCCCACACATGAGCAGTTGAAAGCCTGGACCCGCTACGACTTTGAGGCCAAGCGATACCGTGGCTCCAACTCACGCGGTCCTTTGTGGAGTGACGTGGTCCGCCGACTCACGCTGGACTTGGACGCCAACAAGATCATTCAGGATCTGACAATCACGGAGAACCTCTCTGTCCACAAGCTCCATGAGAAGCTCCCCACTGGAGTCAAGAACATTGAGACCACTCTCATCTACCGGCCACGACCTGGAAATCCAGATCCAGGCAAGCCTTATGAAGCACTTCTTCCTCAACCGGCTGAACAGCCAGCCAAGAAAGCACGAGTCCAAGAGCCACAAGAAGATGCCCGACTCACCGACGTCAGACTGGCCTGGAGCTCACGTCCTACACCTTCAGATGGACGAACTGCCAACAGGAGTAAGACCTTTGGCATCTGGCGAGCTGATGATGTCACTGAGTGGGGTGATAAGAGAAGATTTCCAGTGATTGCCAACAACCGCGACATCAAGCTCTTCTGCAAGTTGGAACATAAGGACATGCACTATGCCCTCAAAGAGCCAGAGTCCTCGTTGGCATACCTCACCAAACAAAGTGGCAAAGAACTTGATGAGAAGAAACTCACAGCCCAGGAAAAGGCCATGTTTGACAAAGCCAAGGTCCTTGAGATCACCAACCTGGTCAACTCCAATGCCATCCAGGTCATCACTGACCCTGATGAGCTCTCTCGCATTCGACGAGAGCTGCCACATCGCATCATGCCCAGCCGCTTCATCATCACAAAGAAGGCTGGTGAACTGGGCGAGGACTGGAAGGCTAAGGCCAGATGGATTCTCCTTGGACACAAGGACCCAGACGCCATGACCCAGGAGAGATTTGCACCTACTCCATCTTCCACCACTGTTATGCTTTGCCTCCAGGTCATCAGCAGCATGAACTATGAGCTGTACATCATGGATGTCTCCAGCGCCTTTGGCCAGAGTGACCCACATGAACGTGCTGAAGGTCCACTCTATGCATCCATGCCACCAACAGGCATTCCACAGCACAAGAGCACAGACCTGATCAGAGTGCTCACAGCCGTGTATGGTTTGGTGAACGCCCCAGCAGTTTGGCGAAAGACGGTTCGCAGGCACCTGACCGAGCTCAACTACAAGGAAAGTGTCTTCGACCCTTGCCTTTACTACCTGCCACCCACAGAGGAGGAGCTCAGCAGTGGACCACCACTCCAGGTGGCAGGAGTTGTGCTTTTGGATGTTGATGATTTCTGCCAAGGCGGCAACCAGAGGCATCAAGAGCTGATGAACCAGTTGCGCTCCAAGCTCAAGTTCGGGAAGTGGCGCAACGTCTACAAGAGCTCAGCTGAGTACATTGGCCGCACGCTCACACAGCTCGAAAACTATGAAGTCCAAGTGAGCATGAAGCGGTACATTGAAGAGAAGCTGAAGCCAGTGACCCTTCCTCGAGAACGGCTTCGTGACAAAAGCTCAAAGTTGACGGAGCAGGAGATCACATGGCTCCGTGGAGTTGGAGGATCCTTGCTTTGGATCGGGAAGGAGGCGAGGCCAGATGTTGGTGCAGCATGCGCTATGGCCATGAGCTGGAGTTCTGATGGCCCGACGGTTGAGCACATCCTCATGGCGAACAAGACCGTCAATGAACTGAAGCAGACGCCTGACGAGGTCCTGCGCATCCTCCCCATCGAGGCCAACAACGGCATTTGGATGACGGTGGCCGATGCTTCAATGGCCAATGTGGAGAATAAGTCGCAGGGAGGCTTCATCGTGGCATTTGCCCATGGCTCCATCCTGGACGGGCAGAAGGCAAGCTTCAGCATAAACAGCTGGAAGTCACACCGGCTGAAGAGGGTCATCAAGGCCACGCTCGGCAGTGAGGCTTTGGCCATGGACGATGCTTTGGCGGAGGTGGAATGGGTGAGAGCTTTATGGCATGAAGTGTTGAACCCAGCCACTTGTGTCATGGACGGCACCAGGCTTGGTTCGGAGCCGTCGGCGATGGTGGTGCGGCTCCCTGAGGAAGAGGCTGAGGATGTCAAGAGCATCCGGATCTGCGACAAGCAGAGTGGCATCCATGTCACGGACGCCAAGGCCCTCTACGACTTGTTGAGCAGGAGATCCGGGAACGCCGGACATGACAGAAGGGCGCAAATCGACGTGGCGGTGATCCATGTGAGCGCTCGGGCCTTAGGTGTCACCACCTTTTGGGTGCCAGGCAATCTGATGATTGCAGACCCTCTCACAAAGAGATTGGGCAACAGCACCTTGCTTCGCAAGACCATGAGCGAAGCGGCTTTTGCACTTTGTCGTGCTGCCAGTGAAGGGGGAGGATGGCCATGATATCCCCCCTAAAGGATGTGAAACAAACTGCCTTGTGCCCTGGCCATCCACACCTGTTGACTTTCCATGACCGTACCGGCCCAAACTTAGTGGCCACTTGAGTCTGCCTTGGAAAAGGCTTTCCTTGCCGTGCGCCATAGGCACTGCGTTTCCGCTGTTCATCACTTTCTTTTTTTTTCTTTCTCTTGGACCTTTTGGCATAAAACCTCCAGTTCTTTTGGAGACTATTACTTTCAGTAGAACAATCATGCTACCGACGTCAGACTCTGGTCATCTAAGGAACATCTTATAAGTAGTCTTCACCAAACAACCATTAGATTGCAAAATAGGTCAACCATTCTATAAAGTGGCCTTTGAAGGCTAGGGTATTTTTATAATCCTTTCACATCTTGGGCTTCCCGTGGTTTTCTCTTTTTGGTGTTTGGTGGAATTCCTCTCACAGTGGCTCCTCCCAATGGGCAGGTTTTCGCTGGTGACCTGGCCACTACCACCAAGTGCAAGTTCGCGCCTTTAGTCGCCTTTGGCACGTGCCTCGGTATCGGTATGGGCCCAGGGGACTTGAGGGCCTTGAGGGAGGTGCAAATACAACAGATGTGTGAGTTTCCCATTTTGGATGGACATCACCTTGTTTTTCCTTTTCAATTTGCTCCGCACTCCGGACACACTGCGGGAGATGGGTCTGGGGTAGCTGGGCTGCTCTGGAATTGGTTGCTGATCTTGGGAGCAAACATGTCCAAGGCCAGGCTTTCGAGGCGTTGACCCTTTGCCCTCTGTAGACCCATGATTGCTCTGTTTGCCCTACTTGTTCGACTCCAGTCTCGTTTAGCCCTATTACGAAAACATATGAAAACTACTTGGATGGTGTTTCAGGAGGCGTACACCTGTCTGGGTGACCACAGACATCCTCGGTCTTTTGGACACACCGCATCCGAGCAGACCGAAAATCATCCGAGTCTTTTGTCCTGCTGTTGTTAAGCCACGGCGGGGAACCACGTAGCTGACGTACCTAAGAGATACAGAAAACAACCAAACATATTGCAAAGATACTGAATAGATGTTTGTTGCTTTCTTAGATGAACAGAGTCTGGCCCAAGTTCCTAAAGGTGAAGTTCAGGTGTTGTTGGGGAGGTGAAGAGCTTTGGTGGCATCCACATAGAACCTCATAGAACCAAGAAAACGTCTTTTCCACGGGTTGGTCCAAGAAAAACGAGGCGCACGTCCGTCCAGAAACAGCTTCTCCGTTCTCCGGTTCTCCCTGAGATGGTTTCTTCTTCGCCGAGACCCGATCGAGCGGTGAAACGTGCGGGCTTCGCTCACCGCGGTGGTCGCCGAGGTTCAAAGACTCGGGGATCTTTCGCGACAAGGGCCGGAACGACTGGCCGGACTGGCACCACATGATGGCGGACCATCCGGTGGAGTGCGAGAATGGCGAGGCCGGAGCACGTGGAATGAGGAGGGGGGGTGTGACAGGAAGGACCCGTGTGGTGCCGTGGTTTACCGCGTTTCCACAAGTTTTTCTTCTGCTGGTACTCGAGTTTTTGGGAAGGGAGCCTCCAATCTAAAGATCTAAAGAGGCACATCTCGGAAGGGATCATGGAGGAACCAAAGTTTCCATGCACCTTGAATAGTGGAATTGATGCACCCTCTTCGTCACAAGACTTGGGATTTCCTCCTTGGCACCTCAGTCCCCATAAGGCATGATAAGAAGATCTGTCCCAGAAATAGAGTTTGCGCCGGACAGAAATCCGACGGTGCTGACTGTATGACCTGGCAAGCTTCGATTTCGATCCATACCCAAAAGGTTTGGGCCAAAACGACGAGAACTGAAAGCCAGGAGCTATTCTATCATTCAAGGATTGCTTGTACTCCGGACCCATTGGCCGTTTTGGCCTTCCGTATTTCCTTGGGACAACCAGAGACGCGATTTCACGTCCAGCATGTGTGGTTTTTCGACTCCTTCTGCGAGGCCTTGACCGCCTTCAAGTTGGAAATCGGCCCCAACACCTTTCAGCTGCTTGGAAGCAGCTCCGACGTTTCGCAGGCCCACACCGATCGTGGAAGAAGTACGCAAGGCTTTTCGCTGTTTGGGTCCGGTAAATCGGTTTTCATTTCAATGAAAGACCCGATAGCCGCGGCGGACCGGTAGCCAGTCTGTTTGGATGTTGGGAGAAAAGCAGCTGGATCGCCTGGATTGCGTGAAGAACTGGTTTCATGCCCAACGATTCCCGAACAAGACGTCAACGCTTCTCAGTCTTCCAATCCCAGCGGCGTTTGCCTGGCAGGGCTCCAAAGTGTTACTTAGCCATGGCATTTCCCGACAGGGACCAGCACGGATCGGAGCACGGCTCGGCCCAACCACCACCCGCCGGCGCGGTGCCCGGGCCCCGCCGGGTCCCGGCACCGTTCGGACTGACCGTTGAACGGGACGAGGTACGAGTGCAGCAAGATTGGTGGCTTGGGCAGCTGCTTCGACTATTGGACCCCCCAAGTGGAGGTGAAGGAGAGGAAAGTTCAAGATGTCCGGACGGTGGAGGTGAATGGATTAGAACTTCACCCTCCATTGTAATATTTATACAATAGTATAATACATATATATATATATACACATATTTTACACTATAGGGGGGTTATTCATCAAGAGTCTAGCGTTTGGGGTGAAGCGGGTGAAGCGGGTGAAGCGGGTGAAGCGAGTATCGGGAAAAGGGTGCGGAAGCAGCGGTGGTAAGGGTGATGACTGTCGACATGTCGTCTTCATGCATCTTAGCTTTGCACATATATGTGTCATATGTCCCAGTCGATTAACATTGACCCTACTCTTTTCACAGTCAGGTTCGTCCCCTTTCAATCTGATTCAGACCACCTCGATGCCAAACGCCCCCAAGTTTGCACACAACTGGCCACCGAACCTCTCCCCAACCTCTCCCCATCTGCCTCTTCAGCACCGCCCTCCGGCAGCGCAGGCCTTTAACCAATGGCCTTCCAACTGGGTCAAGACCATGCGCATGCTCCGCACCGAGCCTCTGCGGTGGAGGTCTAGCCGGTCTCGGTGGTCTCGTGGTGGGTCATGAGGTTTCTGGTTTTGGGGGGGCAGGACCGGTGGGTGAAGAAGAGGCTGGAAGCTGTGGGCGTTTTGGTGCTACAGGCTTCTTCCTACCGCTTCCCACGGATCCTTGGTACCATGGTGCACCACCTTGATGTTCTGGCTCGTGTCTTTTCTCCTTGCAGGGCTGCATCGCCATCGCATGTATCTGCCCGGCTGAGCTGAGCTTGGAGGATATCACCGTACTCAGCCTGTACTTCCTACGTCATAGCTTCACGCGCGTACTTCTAACGATGGTTATTGGGTTGTTGGATGTTGTTGGGTTGTTTTAGGGCCAAGTTGGTTGGGTATAGCAGCGGTTAGATAGGAGAACGGTAACGAGATGTAGCAAGGCAAGTGGGATGGTGGTAAGGGCTTGGAGCCACTCGCTGTGCTTTCCCATATGCTTTTGGTAGTGTCTTTTCTTTCGGAAGATCTCCATATGAATATCAATTCAATATATATATATATGTGTGTGTGTGGATTATGTGGATATATGTCTTCACGATGGATTTTGACATGCTTTCCAAAGTCGTCCTACCCACTGTCGCCGTCCACCCCACCGTCCACCCCACCTCCTTTCGGTGACCTTCTCCGAGGACTGCGGGGAGAACTCGGTGATCGCGGCGCTGCACTTCGAGTACAGTGAGGGTGGGAAGTGGGCGCGGTCTCGCTACAGGCGCCGAGACGTCGGGACGGGTTGGGGGTGTGGCGTGGAGGGTGGAGCGCGCGCGGAGGGTGGGCTTGGGGGGAGATGTTGAGACGAAGTTCTTGAGCGGTCTTGTTTCTTGGATTTGGAAGGGGGTTCAAAGATTCTGTGGCATCTATAGCTCTTTCGAGACGTAAGGGAACGACCCGGCAGTGTTTCTTTTTTTGCGAAGAAGTCATTGGACGAGCTGCTTTGAACGAGCTTTGAAGAAGCTGGCGTAAACAACAAAGATGAATGCTTGTTCTCACGGGTAAATTGTTGGGGGGGCACTATACAATGGGTGCATATACAACGTTTGTTCTCACAGGGTGATGAGAAGAACCCCGACATGAACATCAACGGTCCTTTGTTCTCACAGCGCCCCCGAGAGTTTGGCAGGTGTCGCGTGCCTTTTTAGAAGCATCCCTCATGTGAGGATCGATTGGACAACATCTATGGTTTTGGGTCGGCCCTTCTTCTAGTTGTTCTTTCAGCATGGCAAGAGGTCGGCTTGGCCGGGCTTGGCCTCCTCTCATCTCCCATTTCAAGGGGGTCCGGTGCTGCCAGGTGCTGCAAGGCCGGTGGAGCGCCGATCACCTTCGATCCACGTGGCCAGGCGGACACGACACGACACGGGCGGGCGAAGCGGCGAAACGAGACGCTAAAGGAAGACACCAGCCACCACTTCCCGAGCGTGGTGGACAAATTTAAGTTTTTTCAAGACAATCGCTTGATATATTAATATATTTTACATATTCAATCATCTTTTCAAGAACATCCTTTGACTTTTCATCAACTATTTTTTTTACATCTCTTTGATGACTTGTGAGTCATTGTGGGTTAAAACCCTGTCAACGCCCTCACTGCTTCTTTCTTCCGCAGGTGGCAGATCTGGTGAGCCCCTTCGACGGCGTCTACTGCCCAGGCGATCGGGACGTGTCGGGCCGCCTGCGCTACGTGAGCAGTGCTGGAAAGGCCTTGAGCTTCGCCGCTTAGAGGGATCAGATGGGGCGATAGGTATAGGTAGAGCCATGCTGTGGGGTCCAGGTCGCAAGTTGAACCTGGTCTGACCTTGCTCTAAACAGAAGAATCGCTGGTTTTGTGAGCTGGATCTGATTTTGAGCTGTAAGCTTTCTTTTCTTATGTTATGCCTCGGGACTAGGGGAGAGGCCAGTACTGTTTTGGTATGAGCAAACCCAGTCAAATGAGGTCTTGACCTGCCGGGTAGGGTGGATGGAAGGGATGGAAGAATGGATCGACCCCAATGACATCCATGGCCCGTGGATAGGCACCCTCCTGTCATCAGGCACCATCAGGCGGTCAAATGTGTGGGTCAAAACCTGGAGCTGCTCAGTGTGCGGATTGTTGTGCAAGAGCGAGTCTTCCAAACCCCGGTTGGTTGACCTTTTCCACATCTTAGTTGAAAGACCCATGGCCATTGTTGAGGTGACGGTGTGACGGGATGTCTCTTCATCCAGTGGAGGGGCACTGACCTTCTCGAAGTGTCACAGGAAACCGTTGGCCTTCTCGGAAGGCTCGTTCAAAAGAACGACGGAAAACGGTGCCAGCTGTGAACTTGACACTCGTGCACTGATGCAAGAACTGGTGCCATCATGTGCCATCAGAACCTGACCAGGGGCCCAACAGAGGAGACCCTCCCGCCATCTCCCTCCTACCTTCTCTTCGCATCTCCACACCTTCTTTTGGGACCTCCCGAGCCCTTGTCCACTGCTCGCAGCACCAACACCAGATCGAGCCCCCCGCGCCCCCAGGATCGCGACACCGGCAAGTGGTGCATTGGCTCAGACTGCTCCGCGGTCACGTCGCAGGACGAGCCGAAGGAACTCCCGGGCGCTGTCTTCGATGTGGCCACCTGGATCAGCAGGGGAAGGACGTGGGCCCCCCGGCGTGTTTGCCGGAGCTCCCTTTTGGTCGGTCTGTCAACCCCGGATCAAACGATCAAACCCCAAAAAATCTGAGCTGTCTTCACCCGAAGAGTTGCCGGTCATGGTTCGTGGGAGGGACCGAAGGACCCCGCCAGGCACTGGTTTTCCTGGAGGGACCGAAGGACCGGAAGGTCCATCCATTGAAGTGTCTGAACCCACTACTGTAGGTACTAGCGTTAAGTCGACTCAGCTTGTGTAAAGTCGACTTGAAACCGTGTGCCCTTGCAGAACTGCACTCCACAGGGATGTCTAAGCATAGATTAGATTGTATAACAAATGAGCAGCCCAGTTGCCTTTTGAGGTTGGGGCCGCGAGTGGAGGAAGTTAGAGATGAATTCTTGGGACTAGCCCTAGATTGGAAAGTGGATCCCTGTTAAAACCTTTTTACATTGCGACTGTATAGGGGGGGCACGCTAAAACTTAGAAGCCAGTTGACGCAGTTCTCAGTTCACCCTGAACCCGAACCAGAACCAGAACCGCGCCGTTCCAGTCCAGGTACAGGTTCCCGACCACCAAGAGCACTACTATTACTATTACTATTACTATTACTGTTGCTACAACTTACTATTACTATAACTATTACGCTTACTATTACTACTACCACCACCACCACTACTACCACTACTACCACTACTATCACTACTATCACTACTACCACTACTACCACTACTACCATTACTACCACTACTACTACTACTACCACCACTACTACCACCACTACTACCACCACTACTAC